AATGAAGTAGGAAGTCAGTTTGTAAATAACATTTAAATTAATTTTATGCTTCAAAGAGTTAAATGAGTGAGAATGTTCAAACATGGAATCTCCTTGTGCAAATGAAACACATCCCCGTCATGTCGCCGTTCATCTGTAGGGCCCAGTCTTTTGTGCGCATGTCCCATGATATGCACGCGTGATGGGCTCTGTTGAGTTTGTCAGCGGATCACTTTTATTAACAGCGTGTTGCGATATGGCGCCGTAGCGGGTGAACCAAAGAGTCTGGTAGTATAGGGTAGGTTTTGAGAGAGAGGGTGGGGGAGGGTTATACGTACATACAACAAGTATTGATTGTCTGCAGCTAAACCGGCTGCCTGCCTTCCCCCCAACCTCTTGCAAGTAAACTGACGTCACAAGAAATCTCGTACCGGATTGGTCTCTCAGTAAGGTTTTGAGACTGCAGAGTTACTTTCAGAATTGATTTACATTTCGTGTACATGTTTGTACCGATATGTTTTTAATGCGGTTTATATTATTTTGGTACAGTTACAGAAAATTTTATGTAAAGGTTTCTTTAAGCTGGTTATTTAGCGACTCTATCGGTAAAAAGTGATGTTGCCCCTGTGCTTAATTAATTAGACACTATGCCATGAAGACATATGGGGGAGTGGAGGTATGGTTCCACCATTCTTTACCACGGCACTAAATTTAGATCAGTGGTCAGCTTGACCCCACGGCCACTTTAACCTCAGCGAAAAAGCCCCCGATATCCATTGAATAAGGAGCTTTTGTGGGCTTCAGAGCCGCTATTGACGCAGTGGAGTATTCGTTGTCGCGGGAACGTGTTTGCGGAGCCGTTGCCCAGAAACGGTCACTGTTTACAGAGTCACCGCTTAGTAACGAGTCTATACACCACAGTATTACTGCCACCGGTGAAAAGGGCTCAAGCGGTAACACTGCTGACTTATATTCGGAAGGCGACAAGTTCGATTTTTCGCCGGCACAGCGACTAACCTGACCGAGGTGTCTCGCTGTTTTCCTTATTTCAACGAAGCAGAAACCTGGATAGTGTCTCAAATTGGGCCACGACCACTTTCACATCCTTCCCAACCATCCTACAGTGACAATGCTGTTAGTTGAGCGACCGGGGATTCTGAGTTCGTTTGCCCGAAAGGCAACAGAATTCTCTCTTCCCTGCAGCATCCAGCGCGTTTCGGAGCACACAATAGCTGTTGGGGGCACTTTCCCCAGCAGTAACGGAGCAGAAAGCTGACCACTTCATCTAGTGTCAAGGTTGAGGACGTGTATACCTCATTTTCCCATACATCTTCACGGTACTGTGCTCAATTGAGCACAGAGACTTAACCAACTTATTCGATACTGCAACCGGCGGTCGCTCGGTTGGTATAGTTCGCTTGCGGACTAAAACTATGGAGTTTTTTTTTTGTTTATTCGATACTGAACTTCACTGTCGAGTGGAGGGGTGGCAATCCTGCTTCTTGTTTTGGAGACTCTGGGTTCAAATCTAGGTCAGGAGCGGGCTATCCCGACTCCATTATTTTTCTGTCCTTCTTGGCAAATACCGTGGCCAGGGCCTAATCCTTCCACATCCCTTCCAATTTATCAGTCGCTGATCGTCCTATCATTCGACGCTATATAGTTTGAGATCCTGAAAGCATCGTTAAACAAGCCATAAATAAATATACGCGTTTTTATGGGCACATCGAGCGTAAGTCGCTAAGTATTTATCGGAGAGTAAATAATAAACGTATTTTATGCCGTATGCACTTCTCTTATTAAGTACACATTATATACTTTTACAGACTTGATAAGCATTGCATTAGAGGCAGGTTTCTATAGCCAAAAGACTGCTTTGGTGATACCTCTGGCATGTAATTAGTCCCTAACTGTGGACAGATTTTACTGCAGCAGTACTGTGCTTTGAATTGTCTGAGTTTCATTCAAATTTTTAGAGCCGCTAAATTTTACCGTTCTGTTGAACGTCAGCGTGTTTTGCGCCACCCGGTATAAAGTACTACATTTTTGTAAGCAAATAAGAGAAAAATGTGTTATCTTTACTGTTTGGTGAGCGCAGGAAAGGATGTCAAACTTTGTAAGCAGAAGCGTACAAACCGTACGGAAATTCTCATATACAGGGACTGTGAAAACGCCGAAAGAAGCAGAACACGAAGAAACATTAGATCACGTCGGAGAAAGACAATGTGTTACTTTGATAAATGTCTTTGCTGGAGAACCTTCTTAAAGAATTGTCAAATGGGATGTGCCTTTAGTTAAGTGACATGCACTGCGTTTGCCAAATATTATTCATCATCAAGGAGCTTAAGACTTTCATTTTTCAAAATAATAGCTAATATCTATTTGTTGCAGTGGACGGAGAAGTTCATGGAGGTAGCCCCTAGGCCCACTGGGGCTGTAGTGCCAAGGGGAAAAAAAANACTACTACTACTACTTTTACTTACTCTTACTCATGGAGCTGAGCTCTTCTTAAGGAGCCGCCAATTCTGCAGCTACTTAAGAATTGCCCAGCATTTTATGGGAACACTCCTACCACTAATCATATTTCTCACCCTCCTACTTCTTCTCTTCATACTACTACTTCCCCTACGTCTCCTCCTGTTCCTACGGCTTCTACTTCTCCTCCGCCTACTACTACTTCTACTTCTCCTCCTAATACTATATCTCCCCTTCGTACTTCCAACTCCCCTCCTCCTCCTCACTTCAGTAACTTCGTTGGTCTGGGATTCATATTTCCAGCTTCACTCTGGTCGTATTCGTCTTTATCCTAATGGCACGAGTGCAAGTACATCCTGTCTTCAGGCATTTGCCTTCACTCATTTGGCCCTCATTTCCCTCCTGTAAGATTCTGTGTTAATTTCGCCGACTTCCCACCACGGCTGTCCGGATTCTGGCCCAGGTCAAATCATGTGGGATTTGTGGTGCATTAAGTGGCACTGCGGCAGGTTTCCTCCGAGTACTTCGGTTTCACCTGCCAATTCTCATTCCACCGGCTGCTTTACACTCATCTTTAATCCGGGGCTGTTACAGTAGGCCAAATAGTGGCCGACGTACCAAGTGGACTCAGGCTCACCCAACCCCACTAAACAACAAAAAAAGGCAAGCTAACTTGTATTAATCTCATCATATCATTTATGCTTTCGGCTACAGCTCTCTCGCATATTTCATTATTTCCTTTATCGTCTCTGAATCCTTATATATTGATCCATTAATGGCCTTAGAATTGTTATCTCTGTTACTCTGTATGCATGTTTCAGTGCCGTATTTTACTACTCATTTAACTGATGCTTTCAAATAAGCACTCCTAGTCATTCTTTTTCCAAAGTGCCTGTAGATTGTTCCCCTTATAAGTATGGATATATATATTTGCTTTGTACTTACCAAATCTCACTCCGCATACGGGCTTATAGATTGTTTTAAATATTTACATTTCAGTACTTTCAGAGCGAGATGTTTTTCCTAGCGCGCACGCAGGTGGAAAAGTCGAACGGGGGCTATCCGTAACGCATGTAAGCTTTACGGAAGAGCTTGCAAGAAAGCTCACTGAATCATGTAGTATAGTGTTAGCGAAGAAGATATGCCATGGGGGAGATGGAAAATTTGAGAAAAATTTCAGTTTCAGAACCTAAATGGAAAAATAACATTGTCCACTTGTGATTCAGACTCAGATGGAAGGTTAATATTGAAATAGAATGCGAAGGAGTGGATTGCATTCAATTACCTCAGCTAGGTTCTAGCTACGGTCTTCCGGGAATCTCCTATCAATGGGTTCTGCTCCATGAAGTTAGATTATTTAATTAAATAATAAATGTAGAGTTTTCCCCGTCCTTAATTATCTACAGACTGAAGACACATGGTGGACTTGAGGTGTAGCTCCATTCATTCTTAACCTCGGCTCCCGGACGCCTATTGGACGGAAAGCTGTGTAGGTCCCTAAGCCGGTCTGCACGCTGAGTAAAGCAATCTCTTGTCCTTGTCGGGATTCTGACCCGTAGCCCGATTTCTGTACCCACTGATATATCCCTGCTTCTGTGATTACGGTCCAAAACATTGAGATTTCCAACCTTGGGCGACCTTTCATTCCATGAGGTTGGCAGATTGATCACAGTGGCTCGCTGCAGTATCCGTTCTGTTTTCCTCTCCAGCTTTCTTACGAGAGGATGGAGGTCAGGTCACATTTCGCCTTTTTTGTTTCTCCCTGACCCTTAGCGTATGTGAGAATGAACGCAGGTGTAACCCGGACCTCTGGGGCGGGTAGCCCCAGGGGAGCACTTGGCACACTTTGCAAATACACGCAATAACAGCCGACAGCTGTACCTACTTCTTTCCGACTCTTGTTATGAGTACATATATACATACGTACATATTCCTCTAGGGCTGACCGAACACAATTTGCAGGTCATATATGACGAAATTGACGTAAATTGTAGGTCAGTTTATCAGTTCAATAACTGATTGATTATTGCGTTACTAGATTGCCCGTGTAGAAAAATCTGAGCTGAAATTTGAGGAACAGTTCCTGTTGTATGAGATTTGTGGTTTTCATAACGGTGACCATGAAGAGTGACCGCCTCTGTGGTCTAGCGGTCAGAGTTCGTGGCTACAGATCCAGATGTCCCGGGTTCGATTCCCAGCCCGACCAGATTTTCTGAGAAGTAGTAGTTCTGGAACAGGGTCCACTCGTGAGGATAATCGAGGAGCTGTTTTAAGGAAATAGCGGCTCTGGTCTAGAAAACAGAGATTAACGGCCTTGGGGATTCGTTATGCTGAGCACAGGACACCCTCTGTCCGCTAAAGTTGACCCTAACTTCGACGACAAGCGGTCGCTCGGTCGGTAAAGTTCACTTGCGGACTACAGGCCACGGAGTTTGTTTTTTGTTTCATGATGATGATGATGATGATGATGTAGATGTAGTATAAACTATTGGTGGTAGTGTATGTTATAAGATTTTCAGTGACATATTTCTTTGTTTGGTTTACAGTCTGTGTGAAAAGCCAGTAAACCTCAACACAGCAGGAGATGGTGGCTCAGTACCTCACATTGCGGGACAGTTAAATAATGACCTTTATGCTGTTCCTGTAAAGCGTAGGCCACCCCCACAGCAATCTTCAGTGTCATCAAATGGCGGTAGCAGCCCTAAGCACTCTGTCGGATCCCCAAGCAGTGGCGATCAGAGCAGCGATCTTGAAAACTTACCGCCTGGCTGGGAGAAACACGAAGGTAATAGGGCTATACGTCTTCAGTGACAATGCAGCAATGTGGTTGCTAGCTATGGATTTCAAGCATCTGAGGTTTACCATTTGTATCCATTATTGCCAACCACAGTGTTCAGATTTTAATCTGTGTACACTTGGAATAAATCAGTGGCTTGCATGCCAAGAGATCCACATTTGCTGGAGACAGGGCTGTAATGGCATCTGGAACAGGTTTTATAGCTTCCTTATCACCGTGCAATAAATGTTTTGTGATGCTTTCTGCTCATTCTTTACAGAGTTATAAAAGAAACCTAATGCAGAGCTCATATCTGTTCACATATTTTTCTGTGATATAGTATCAGGGCATAAACTGTGAGACAGATTTGTTTAAAATTCGATCAGACTTCCGCTTTTTCAGGCAGTTGTGATTTACAACCATATTGATACACAACAGAGTGTAGTTTATGTAAGGTCACAAATGGAATTTCCGTGTATCCTGTAACCTGTTGAAATTTTATGTGGGAGACTTCCACCAGAAATTGTCAGGCAGTTCAGTTTACAACCATACTGATTCATAATAAATCCTAGTTTACATAAGGCAATAAATGGACTTGGAATATATTCCATAAACCATTTACAGACTTAATTGAAAATTGACATGGAGGACTTCGAAAAGTTCTTAGCAACTCATATTTACAGCCATTTTGGTCTATAATAAAGTCTTGTTTGCACAAGACCATAAAGAAAACTTTCCATATATTCCATAAATCCCTTGAACAGGTTTTTCAAAATTAAGTATGGGAGACTTTCACTGATTTCATTTGATTGCTCATATTTTTAAATACTTGTAAATATAATGAAATTTTATGAATGACGTTGATAATTTTGTGTAGTACATTTTGGAGTATGTCCTTTCCAGTCCTTTGTTTTATATGCCAAAAACTTGTTATTTTTTGTGTTTGGTGAAGGGACATGCAACTAACTTGACATCGCATGGGATGAAGATGTGAGGTATAATTGTATATAGGAGCTCAAAATTTTAAGCTGTACCAGGACCTGAAGGAACATCCCTGTGATAGTGGTATATGTGTTAGGTTAGGCATTCTGCAGTATTTAAAAATATGTGTAAGGGAGCCTTAGTATTCTTGGACTGCTCATTTCAGAATTTTACATATATTAGACATTTGTGTTTAAACTTACATAAATGTTCCTGATTGAGGCTCATGAACTTTGAAAGTGTGATTTTTTTGTGCAGGAGGAATTAGCCTGTCAGGTTTCATGAGTAACAGGATTTTTCTATTAGGGATTTATAGTTCTTTGGAATTATCAGATGGCAGTGATACTTCAGCTGTTAAGTGCTGAAAGGGGTGATCATCTTTCTTTTTACTTACTTTAAATACACAGCAACACCTAAAAATGATGCAGATGGAGCTTTGTGGAATTTATAAGGACAATAATGGCCACATAAAATCAGGTGACCTGAATTCAGTGGAATGAGTACATGTTTTGAAACAGTGTAGTATTGTGCATTGGACGTCTCCCATGAAAATGCATGTCAAAAGAAGCCAGCAGTTACGCAAACCAGTGACAAGAAGTTAGCTACAATTCTGCACCTTACTGATACATATAAATGCCAGTGAAAATGAGATAGCTATCTACTTAACTACTTGGTATGACATCACAGAAAACCATAATCACCCCGAAAATGATTTATGGCAATAGTTTCAGGCAAGGCACACACATTAAAATGCTTGTATAAAGTCTGAAGGCGAATACCATGCATAGGTGATCACACTGAAGTTTGGACATTACATACAGAGTCAACTTATTTGTCATTCTCAGATCTCATATAGTGTACAGCTTCAGTTGACATTTCAGTAAACATTGTAATACTTTTTTTTAAACTATTGCTTTGGACTTTATCCATCATCCAGTTTCACTATGACCACTGGTTTTGGACTTGGAGTTGTATTTCCATCTTCAGGTGGATTAGGAGATGAGAGAAATCTACTCTGTTAAGTCCTTCAGTAAAGTTACAAACATATCCACCTGAAGATGTGAATAGAACCAATTTGTGATGCAGTAAGATGTGAATAGAACCAGTATATGACACAGTGATTTCAATAAAATTGATGGACAGAGTCCAAAATAAGTTGTAATTAATGTATTACACCATTGTCAAAAAACTTTGAACTTTTCCCACTATTTAATTTTAATTAATTTTGATAAATATTGTACAATTAATCATTTAATTGCTGTGTTCTTGTAATGTGCCATAACTAAACTATGTCAACATGGAGCTTGTTATGAATCTGAGTGCAGTTGTTTTTATGACTCATATTTGCTTGCAGATAATGATGGACCATACTACTGGCACATAAAGAGTGGCACTATACAGAGAGAGCCACCTGCAGTGCCACCTAACAGCAGGACAGAACCTAGAAGGCCGCTAGTCAAGGATGCAGAGGGTGTATGTTAAAAGAAATCAATATGTTCTTGATTTATACAGCATGAAGTGTTTGGGTATATGTTATTCACAATTAATCCTGATTTTCCATTTATGGTTTTATTGTATGTATCCCATGTTGCAACCCAGTTTTGCAAATTTATGTTAACATTGCTAGCCTTTGAACCAGTGAAAAGTCTTGTAACCGTCCTTCGGTTCTGCTAGCTCTGGTAGAGCAATTCGACTCCTCTCAGGGCGTGTTGACTGGCCACGACTTGGGTGATTAGTGGGGCTTTAGGCGGAGGGAAATCACCACAACACCAATTAACTATATGGAGTCTTTATTAAATTTGCAATAATTAAATAGAAACAGCCTGTAGTGGTACACTTCACAGATTCGTGGATGTAGGCTTACTTACTGTTCTGGGACGCACACTTAATAGTCACCACAGGGTGTGTTTACGGGGATCAGCACACGTGTACCCCCGGTGAATGTAACTTTCAAAGTCCCTCTTGCCAAGCACCCTCTGAATGGTAAATATTTTCCCTGGTTACCCAAAATTCGGGCAAAGGACCTCCCACTTCAGACGATGATTGGCTGGACCGGGCAGACTGGGAGGTTGCTTATCATTCTCCTCCAATTAGGAAAGCGAATCTCCACTAGTGTACAGTTTAGGGGTGAACTTTGCCACCTGCTGCGTGGCTGTCAAACTGAGATTTTGGGGTAGCAGTAAACGACGCTGCTAAATTTATGACTTCCCCTGTCAAGTTTAGAATTTCTAAAGAACTAGGCCTTGTTTTGCTCGTTAAATTGACTGATTTACGAATGGGCAGCTGGCTTCAAGCTTGACCCAAGCCACTTGCTGCTTGTCTCAGGGGGAAAATTTCAAATTGTGAGGCGAAAGTGAGGAATTTCACAAAACCCTAACCATACACAAACATCAATTGACCTTCCCATAAACTGGACAGTTACAGTCTTATTGAATGTCAGCTTAGTATACTTCAGATCTGAGTGTTATGCACACACAGGTCTGTAAGATAACATAATTCATTAAACTGAAATTGAATATCAGCATGCAGTTGGTCACTGTGACTGGGAAGCAAATATTTGGTGCTTTTGAAATTCGTATAATCTTTCAGACATATAAATTTTGTTACAGTTACTTCAGTTACATGCAGCAAAAGCCCTTTGTGAGAAGCTAATATTTGCTTGCTTACTCAAGAAGTTTCCAAACTTTTATGGAATCAGGTTTCATTCCAGAGTTGATAAGAACCCATCATGGGACCCTATCCTGAGTGATTCCTTTCAATGAGTGGGAAAATACAAGAATGAAGCAACTTTGATACAGTCCACAGTACTTGTTAGTAATATTTGTTACAAAACAATAAGATATTTTACTTCTTTTGGCTTATTTTGGACTTCACCCATCATCTGGTATGTAAAAGAAAAAAAAAACACGACATTTTGGAGACTGGATCTGTCTCCGTCTTCAGGTGGATAGGGAAGGATAAACCTACTCAGTTGGGCCCCTTAGAAAGAGCTAGTCTCAGTGATTGAGACTAGCTCTTTCTAAGGGGCCCAACTGAGTAGGATTATTCTTCCCTATCCACCTGAAGACGGAGACAGATCCAGTCTCCGAAACGTCGTGGTTTTTTGTCTTTTTGTCTTTTACATACCAGACGATGGGTGAAGTCCAAAATAAGCCAAAAGAAGTACAGTATACACCATTGTCAGAATCCTTTCAAGTCTATCCACATAAGATATTTATTTATGGTTTATTTAATGATGCTGACAGTAGCTCAGAATCAGTGAATGCTTAATGGATAATGAATTGAAATTAATGTGGAAGGAGGTGGTCATGGCCTAAACACTGGTGTTTACTCTCAGGGACTAAGGAAATCCAAGTGCAACCTCAGTTAGGATAGCTCATCTTCAGGCTGAAGTTTGAACATGGAACCTCCTGAATATGAAGCAAGAATAGTCTCCACTCATCCATATTTGCATTACAATTTCAATATGAAATCTTTCCAGATATTTTAATGAGAAACACAAAATTTACATGATAATATTTTAGAGACATATTTGTTATAACAGAATAAAAATTTAATAAATCCAAACAAAAGATATAGGCAGAACAAAGCTGATAGAGATAAAATCTTGAATACTCGGTAATCTTTTCATGTCAGGTTTTTCAGTTTCTGTTTAATGGTTTATCCTGGTTTCCTTGTAGTGTTATTTCTGTTTTATACTGGCTAATTTACATAAAGTCTCCAGTCTCTACTGTCTTCCCACAGCCTCTTCTCTTTTCTGTTACTTCCCAGTCCTTTCCTCTTTTCTTGGTGTCTTCCAATATTGGGCTTAACCATACTGTTATGGGTCATCCCACATATCTCCCTCCTTTAAATTTTAATTCTCGGTGTCCTTGTTCTATTCATCCTTTTTATGAGACCAAACCATTACAGTTGTTTATCTTCAACTCTGTTAATAAAGGTACAGCTATCCCTGTAACAGGCCACAGAGGCCCATTGGGTTGTGAGATGTCGAGGCTCCCACATTTTCTAGACAGTTGGCTCACAGACACCAGTAAGGTTGTCAGCCTTATGCGCTGACCTGCCTTTACCCTCCAGGAAGATTCCTGGTACTCATTTCTCTTAGAGGCTGAGTCGACCACAGGGCTCTAGTGTGGCTGGAAGGATTAGGTCAATTGAAAAATCCAGTGACCTCATCGGGACCCATACCTGCCACCTTCCAGCTTGCAGCATAGTCCCTCAACAAGTTACACTACTGCGTGCCCCCCTACTTTGTTAATAAATTTTGAATTTAAACTTCTCTGAAAATTTTCTGTTTGAGAACTGCATATGCATATGCAACACACATGCATGCGATACATGTGCACACAAGTTTTGAATGATATTCATATTGTAGACTTCTGCGTTTTGACAGTGTGTAGCTTTATAGGTGAGTCCTCACGACATTCACTTTAACCCTGAGTATGAAGGCACCATGTACGAGATGGTCTGCATTATGTCACAAACCTGAAGACCACTGTGAATAATCAGCCCCATTGAAACCTCAAAATTTATGTTGTTCTCATGCAGTGAAATATACCAACATAGTAGCTTTGTCATAATGTTACTAGTTTCCTGGACTTTGTCCATTGTCCAGTATTTTAAAGTGGAACACAGTGTTTTGGGAGCTTTATCTGCTCATGATGTATTCCATTTTAGAACTGGTCAACAGACAAAGACCAGAAAGCTAGTAATACTGAGTACAGTAGTCCATCTTCAGAATCTTCTAGACTTATTCTTGTAGTCATGTAATGTTTAGATATAATTTGTTGTTACTCATCAGGTTGGAGCTACATAGTTTTAACCTCAGCTGGAAATGTACTATCATCAGAGACTGTTCATGCTTTTCAATAGTCTCTCCATTAAAATGTGAAGATAGTGCCCTCAGATTTTTCAGAACTGCCGCCTTTAAAATTCCTGCCTGTTTAGCATTCAATGTCATCTTTCAAGAATGTGCTGCAGGCACCTGGGTAGTAAACCAGTAAATAAATTACATTCAGTGATACAGCTCCTGCATTTGAAACAGCATCATTGAATAACAAAAGAAGGTATGAATCAATCTTGTACTACAAAGTTTTGTTAAACAGGTCCTCAACACTTATCAGCAGACTGGAGACAGTGGAGTTGTTGCAACTGTTACCAGGAGCAACACCAGTTCAGCTCTTGAAGAGCTTGACGCTGGCAAGAAGAAGGAGGAACGAAAGGAAGAGATTGCTTTTAAGTAAGTAAAAGGACTAAATAGAAATGTGTCTAGGTTTTTCCATTTCTTAATGTATCTTTTGTTCCCCAGTGGGCGACATGTTTTGGCGGCACCTATTTGCCAGCAACTGTCCCTCAGTTATCTGAACATCACCCATAATGTTTAAGGTAACAGATGCGCATGTGTTCAGATAATTGAGGGCTTGATGATGGCAAATATGTGCTGAGACATGTCTCCTACTCTCAGAAACTGGGAAGAAATTTATGTTCTATGCTTGAAAAATTCTTGCATGTATATTGATCTGCACAACATGATGCAACGCTGTACCAGTAACCTTGGCCTTGTACTCAGTCTGTAGACCATGAAGAGAGATGGGGAGTGAAGGTATGGCTCACATATTCTTAATGTCAGCACATGGTGGAGGTGGTCATTTTTATTCCCCAGTTGCTTTATCCCTGGGTGAAAGAAAACATCTGTACTGTGCTTAGAAATTACTTAACAAATGTTTACTTTTATACTGCTCTTGGTCAAAATGTTTTCTCTCAATGCATACATCACATAACATGAACAGATTATTTTCTTATTGTCTAGTATTTTTTTTTTGTTTGCTATACAGAAATAAATTTCTGGGAAATTTGTTTAACCATATAATTATGAATATTAAATCTTCCAACAAAAATTACTGGTCAGATGTACATTTTGCTTATCATGGAATATAAAAAAGAATGAGAAGATTGGGCAGTTAGTCACCAGCTTCTCGCTGTTGCAATTGCATCAACATTCACTTGTCATACTATGAGTATCATCAACACTGTATAGTCTCAATACTGATAGTAGCATTAAATAACTGATTTAAGAATGAAAAAATTGAGTGTATGTTGTTCTGTTCCCTTATGTGGTACACATAATTACCAAAAATATTCTTTGAAATTTATTAAGCTTAATAAATGATGAAATTGAAGTTAGCAAAAGGCTCCTGTATCAAATTTCAACAAAGTCTGTGAAACAATTACAGTCAGCTTGACTATTATTTTGGATCAGTTGTTGACTTTAGTTGTTTCGAATGCACCGTTTCAGAAAATTTATCTGTTTCTTTTACTAACTGTAAGGGAGTAATAGTTCTTACTCAGGTGGTCCCATTGAAAGAGCTAGTTTCAGTCTGTGGAAAATTGAAGATGGTGAATAACGTTGAAAATAATTATGTGTGTGTTGTTGAATCTTTACAAATCAGCTTAGCTACTTGCATGACTAGGTTCATTATCAGAATGGTTAAATTATTTTTTCAGTTAATAGAAGATTATCGCTGGATGAAGTTGTTATGGTGTATCTCTTTTAATCATTAGGAGACGTAGCTACCCAGCTCGTGCTGAACCATCGGAATCCAAAGGCTCAGAACGACCGATTCGATTTGCTGTGAGGTCACTAGGGTGGGTGGAGATTGCTGAGGAAGATCTTACACCAGAGAGGAGTAGCAAAGCTGTCAATAAATGCATCGTGGACCTGTCGTTTGGACGTTTTGACTTGCTTGATGTTGTAGGAAGATGGGGTGACGTGAGTATTCATATACCTTATTGTTATCTTATGGATTTGTACATGGGATATGTTATGTATTTGTGTAATATGGGACTGTATTTTCATTTCAAATAGAGCATAGGGAAAAATACAAAATACCCATCATGTTTCGCAAGTCTTTGATTGTATTTTCTAAATTATTACGAGCGAACAGCACCAGGTTCCGTAAATGCAGCAGGCTCTTCATGGACTGTGGGTTTTGGGGGACAGCTTCAGCCCCCACATTATAAGCTATATGTGTTATATGTGAAATTGACATTTACCAAATTTTGGAGTCCCTAATATTCATTTTATAGAAATTTTCATGGTGTAAAATATATGTAATTGTGCAAGGGAATATGATCACCCCAGTACATCGAGATCTGAAGTATAATTAAGACAGTATTTTGAGGGTTCACTGTATGCATAGGTAAATACAAATTAAAGGTATTTTATTATGCTTTGACAAAATAACCTCACAGTAATTAAACATATATTTTTCGGTTTTATCATCCTGGTTTTTCAGTACATTCTTTTCAACAGTCTCCTTGTATCCTGATTCCATCAGAATAAAATGTATTTAAGTCATTTTTTTCACTGCCAACACTGTGGATATCTCCATTTCAGATTGATTCCCATCAGTGCTTGATTCTGCTGTTGGTCTGAATACACTGATCAATCTGCTTCTTTACTGTAACACATATTACAGTCTGTGACTGCCCAGGACATGCATTGTCAACAACATTTGTTCATCCTCTTTTGAATCCTTGCATCCATCTATAAACTTTCATCTGGTTTATATAGTTACCACCAGACTCAGATGTTATGTCTCATATATTTGACTGGTTTTCATGCCCTCCGTCCAAAACTTTGATCACAGGTCACTGTTCTTCTCTGGCGCACCCTATAAGTGGAACAGCCAGGTTATACATCCCACTGTTCAAAGGACTCTGAGAAGTAACTGGGTCAGAATGAAGGAAGGTTCATTTCATTTATATTCACAATTTTCTTTTCAGTTTTGCTAGTATTATTTTTTATGTAAATTCAAATTGACTTTACTTTTTTACTTTTCTGTAACATGATACGATGAGATTTGAGGATTTCATAGCAGTGACTGTGTTCTGCAGTGGGTTACTGTGTAATCTAGTAAATGTTTACTGATGTTTCAGAGGAATGTGTGCTTCCAATTGCAGGATAGAAGAAGATGGAAAAAATATGCTCCTCAAAAATCTCGATAAACGTCTATCAGATTTCATGGCATCAAATGAAATCATAAAATTATTTTACCATCTAATTTAGCGCAAGTGAAATTGGTGCAGCTTTGTCATTTTTCAACATGCAAACAAATATTTTTTTCCCCGCATGGAATCCTGGAGTGGTGCACTGGAGAGTATGCATTGAATGCAGCAGGGACTGTGTTTGAAGAATGACAACATTGTACTGACCTATATGCACTAAATTAGTTGGTAAAAGATTTTGAGGTTTTTATTTTACTCACACTTATAGATTGATTTGTTGTATGCTGTTCTCTGTATCAGGAACCGTAGATATGCACCAGATATTAAAATTATTCCATATCTGTAAATGTTACTCAGTCACGTTTGATATGATGGCAGTATCTAGCTTTGTGATTATAATTTCTTAAGATGTTCTTTGTACTGATTTTTCCCCAGGGTAAAGAGTTATTCATGGACCTAGATGAAGGTGCACTAAAACTCATAGATCCAGAGAACCTGACAGTCCTTAATACTCAACCCATTCACACAATTCGTGTGTGGGGAGTTGGAAGAGACAATGGCAGGTAAGATTTGTCACCACAGCTGTTTTTATACTTAAACAAATTATTCCTTTATATTCTTTTCTTACCAGTATCATGGACTTTGTGACTATTATTTTTGTAACTTATATTTGTATGACATACAGGGCTGGTGTAAAAACATAGGCTTCCAAGCAGCCACTTTTGAAAGCTTGTACGTTCTTATAAAAATTTGTTGCAAAACAAGCCAGAATATATGCTCTTTATCTGGGATATGGTTACTTTCTTTGTCAATATGACAGTGTAAATCTGTAGTAGGTAAAATTTGCAAGAAGGAAAAACAGCCACATTAAGAAATTCAAATTTACTCATGTAATTAAAGAGAAGAAATACTATAGTTTATTGAATACCCCACATCCTCAAGTAAGCGGTGCACCCAAATGTTTATGATGAAGAAAATAGAAAAAAAATATATTAAAAAATCAAGTATTACACATTAACTAAACGTCAAACTTTAATAACTATATCAAGTGATAGGTATTATTTCATATAAAAGAACACTTCTGTGTTATTTTTGGTGCTGCTATATTTGCACTTCCTGAGACCTGGTGTCCTGTAACATGAAAATGACGCAGTATTAGTGTTCATTCTGTTGTGGCTTCATCACATAAAATTTGCTGATTAGAAATAAAGGTTATGTACCTACAGCATTTTATTCTCTGTTGCTTTTATCGTCATCATAATTGTCAGCAGAGCTGACTTGCTCTTCATCACTGTACTGAATGAAGTCATTATCTTACCCATCAAGGCTTATAAGATGGTGCTTCCTTTATCCTTTATCTTTAGTTTTTCACTTACCATGACATAATCACTTTTTTTTTTCACTCAAAATCACAATGTAAAACTGACTTTCACTATTGAGTAAACTGAGATGAACTGCACCCTTGCTAGTAACATATAACATGTGCAAGTACAAAAGCTAACAGAGGAGTGGACTGCTACCCTCTGGGATGTGCCAGAGTGCTGAATATGGCAGATAAATAGTGCTGTTAACTTTGATGCAAATAAGCCGTGCACCCCACTTTTTGTCTTGATTTTTTTTTCTGAAAATGTGCGTCAGGTATTCGAGAAAATACACTGTTGGAAATGAGAATTTTAATCATGTACAAAAAGTCTATTGCAAGATATGTACGAGGGGGGACCCAAAAATAACCGGAAACGACCTGTTGCGCGCGCATGCTTTGTAGTTACAAGTTGTGCTGCTAGGTGATGTTAGCTTTGGGTCTCCCGCGACTGTTAGTAAGCTGGCGTCAGTCTGAGTTAAGTGGTTTGTCTGTGGTGCTCTGTTGTGTGCGTTCCTGTTTCAACCCTTTGGCGATTAGTGAGATGGCCGACCAGAAGGAACAAAGAGTGTGCGTGAAATTGATGAAGATCGTCGAAAGACCATTGACCAACTTTCTGAGGAAACGAACATCTCATGGAGCACGGTCCAGCGAATTTTAACCGAAGGTTTGCACATGAGACGGGTGTCTGCAAAATTTGTTCCTCGCTTGCTCGGAGATGACCAAAGAGAAAACCGCGTGAATGTTTGCCGCGACTTGAAGAGTGAAGTGCAGTTTTCCCTAACAGAAAGCAAAATTTCACGCACACTCTTTGTTCCTTCTGGTCGGCCATCTCACTAATCGCCAAAGGGTTGAAACAGGAATGCACACAACAGAGCACCACAGACAAACCACTTAACTCAGACTGACGCCAGCTCACTAACAGTCGCGGGAGACCCCAAGCTAACACCACCTAGCAGCACAACTCGTAACTACAAAGCATGCGCGCGCAACAGGTCGTTTCCGGTTATTTTTGGGTCCCCCTTCGTATACCACTTTAAGAGCCATGTCTAGAATACATATTGGCAAGAGTGCACCGTACATGTCACAGTGTCATTAGATTCTCTGTTAGGTGCACAGTGGGAAGTAAGAAAGTGACAGAAAAGTTACATTTTTATTTATATGGAAGGAAAAGGGCCTTAACCATGTTATTCTGTTGCTATGAAATTAGTTAGCAGTATACAACTCAAAATATAGAACAAGTTTCATATCTAAAGTTTGTTTTAAAGTGATTTGATTTTAGCTGCTTAATATTTGTTAATTATGAAATGTGTCCTCTTTTCATCTGTATGGGCCCAATTAGATATTGTTTTTTTGTTTATAAAGTTTTTAATATACAGTTTATTTTAGGTAAAGATTTTTCTAATTTCTCTAATACCTGTACTGTTAATGCAAATCTGAGTTCACCCAGTAGTGGTGTTCATGGGCATTGCCAGGACTTTTCAGTGGTGGTGGTAATGGTGGTGGCAGGGGGCAGAATCGCCAAATTTTGCTTACAAACTTATGCTAAAGCCATTTAAAGCTGTTTTTACTGATTGCCCTAGAATATTTGGTATATTAGTATAATTTACTTAAAAAAAAAAAGCCTTTTTCTTTTCTGAATCTTAATCTTCTCTTGCCAGCACCCATTTTGTGATTTTATAATAGTTTCAAGTTCTTATTAGAATTAGAAGTTTTTTATGTCAGAATATCTTTAGTGTTCTGTAGCTAAAGGTCTGTTGTCTGGTTTGTGGAGCTAAGTAGTAGTAATTTTGCCTACAGGGCAAGGTGTATCTAATTGGGCCCACTGTTTATCCACCACCTAACTCTCGTATCTGTAGTGCATTGCTAATGTGGTTCTGTGTCTTTCTGTCTCTTCTCATACAACTGTATGTGCCATGGTGATGGTTGCTCACTCCCCTGGGACAATGCTACAGAGAGAGGTAAACATAATGCCCTGTAGCTTAAACCCATATATATAACTACTGACCATAGATTTGTTTCAAGTATGGAAGATTAATACTTGAAGCAAGAGTTTACCTTATTTCCTGTGTTGGAATGAAATAGTTCTGGTGATGATACTGTATATGAGAGTAAACATTTTTATTATTTTGGACATTGTTTATGGTTTTGAGTTCTTTCAGACATAACTTTTTGGAAACTGGACCTGTTTCCTCCATCAGGTATAAGGAAGGAAAGGTTTCTTCTCAGTTAGGCATGTTACTAAGAGCTAGTCTTCATTATTGGCCTTAACACTATGTGGTCCCAGTACTGAAAGCGTCATTAAGTGACATGTAATAAAAAGCAAATGATCACTAGACACTGAAAGAAGTTATATGTAGAGTGTAAGAATTTTTTAAAGAAACCAGAAAAAAAATTAAACTTGTGAGATGATTTACATTTCATTTTCTTGTGGATTCTCTCAGAAATTTTATTTGCAGTTTTTCTGTTGTTATCTTCCAGTAATGATATTTGATATTAGCAGAATGTGTACTGTGCTTAGTACTGCTTTGGTGCTGGCAGAGCTGAGTAGAAAAATTCCATTATTGCAGTTGATGTAGATCTAATTTCTGAAATGTTATGTTTGAAAAGTACTTGACAGTGGACAATGCTCAAAATAATGGTAGTGTGTGATGAGTAGGTTACATAATCAGAGTTGCAGTGTAGATATTTGTTCTTCAGTTTCATTGTCTAGTTTTCTGTGGGTGGTGGAATGCCATATGCTTCACTGTATGCATGTGTTTGGTGAGCATAAAACTTTTTAAGTGCTTCCTTTGTTGTGAATTTGTGTTTACCTCTTACTTCAGAATGCAGATTATTTTCTTTTAGCCTTGTAGTGGCAATGGGGGCAGATTTTTCTGCAAGGTGTTACGCTTCAGAATTCTTGCACAGTATCAGAACCTTGACACTGTATGCTGTACTATGGTGTTTAGAATTTTCATAAGGTACAGGTTTATGATTTGTCTGAGGATTGTTACAGAATAGCAGACAACTGGCAGAGCATTGAAGTTGTTGTAGGGTACAGAAATGATTTTCACAAATATTTTAGAAAAACAAAGAAAATAAATTTATATTTTAGTATAAATAAAAGAATCAAATTTTGCCTTCCAGTTCTCAGATATCTATGACTTGCATGTGCATGTAAAAAGATGTATTTACATTAATGTAGGTAGAGTTACAGGCTCTTCACTGAGTGTTAAGAACTTCAGCAATTATTCACCCTGCACTTCATTATTGTAACAGTGTTTGCACACAATCCAGGTGTCNTGAACTTTGCCACCTGATGCGTGGCTGTCAAACTGGGATTTTGGGTTAGCAGGACATGACGCTGCTAAATTTATGACTTCCCCTTCAAGTTTAGAATTTCTAAAGAACTCGGCCTTGTTACGCATTAAATTAACTGATTTACAAAAGGGCAGCTGGCTTCAAGCTTGACCCAAGCCACTTGCTGCATGTCTCAAGGGGGAAAATTCCAAATTGTGAGGTGAAAGNGCTTCACTGTATGCATGTGTTTGGTGAGCATAAAACTTTTTAAGTGCTTCCTTTGTTGTGAATTTGTGTTTACCTCTTACTTCAGAATGCAGATTATTTTCTTTTAGCCTTGTAGTGGCAATGGGGGCAGATTTTTCTGCAAGGTGTTACGCTTCAGAATTCTTGCACAGTATCAGAACCTTGACACTGTATGCTGTACTATGGTGTTTAGAATTTTCATAAGGTACAGGTTTATGATTTGTCTGAGGATTGTTACAGAATAGCAGACAACTGGCAGAGCATTGAAGTTGTTGTAGGGTACAGAAATGATTTTCACAAATATTTTAGAAAAATCAAGAGAATAAATTTATATTTTAGTATAAATAAAAGAATCAAATTTTGCCTTCCAATTCTCAGATATCTGTGACTTGCATGTGCATGTAAAAAGATGTATTTACATTAATGTAGGTAGAGTTACAGGCTCTTCACTGAGTGTTAAGAGCTTCAGCAATTATTCACCCTGCACTTCATTATTGTAACAGTGTTTGCACACAATCCAGGTGTCAGAGCGTCATGTTGTTTGAGGATTGACAGATTTAAAATATTCTGTTCCCAGAAAATAAATTTTAATGATTCTGAACGTTCGAAATGTGAAAAGGAAACACTCATCCACCTCCATCTTTAATGCAACTTGAAACCATTCACACTCTCTTTTTAATTTAAATTGACATTAAAATCACATTAATTGCTGCATGTTTTGGCCCTTCTTGGTCATCTTCAGACAGTTCACGTTTTGAAACTGTCACACTGCACTAGATCGTAAGTCGATATATTTGCATGCTGTTAGGTATTGTTGTACACATTAAAATGTGTTTGTTTGAGAATAAAACTGTCTCTCCATACCATGTTATTTTCCTTTTTCTATGTCCATGTTTGTACCCTCTACATATGTATGTTCTTACTAGTTGTGCATGTGTCCCTTTGGATGTTTTCAGTAGCTGGGTGTATGTTCCTTACAATTTCCTTATTAAAACCATCACAACACAACAATATTAAGGCCAGTGCCTAGTTTGGTACTGTATGTTCCTTGTATGGGCTGTATTATATTCCAAAAATGTTGATATATGTACTCCATGTTTTTCATTTGAGACTGTCATATTATAATGCTGGATCACGTGCAGAATGAAATTAATTCATAGCCAGAATCTGGTAAGCCACATATGATGCACATATTGAAATGCACTGAAAGAAACATGGAGTCTAGTGTTTCATTTTAATAAAGAGTTTGGTATCTCAAATAATTTTAAAAAATGCAGATATATTAAACTTCTTAGTTACGTATTGAAAACTTATAATATGATTTGTTAGAGAGCTTTAGTGACACAGTTTTAATTCTGATTGTTTTGGTTGAATAGGGATTTTGCATATGTGGCACGTGACCGCACAACCCGCAAGCACATGTGCCATGTGTTCCGCTGTGACATGCCTGCCAGGACCATAGCCAACACATTGAGGGATATCTGCAAGAAGATCATGATTGAGCGAAGCTTACAACAGAATCTTGCCAAACCAATTGATATCATTGGTATGTTCATGTAGAGAACACTTCACTCTGCTGTGAGTTTTATGAACAGTAGAGCTGTGATGCAAACTAATGCACTGTGGATCAGCCTGTCTTAATGGGAGGAGTGTCTTACTCTTCTGCGTGGATCCACACTTACAAAAACTTGCTGCATGTAACCATATTCAGTCCTTCTGCATGCGTGCAGTACGGTTGTTTCATTCCACTGTGTTTTTAGGTATAATTATGGGGTTGTCATAAAAGTGAAAAACTTAATTATGGTATATTATATCTTCTGGGATATAATGCTATGTAGTCTGTTGAAAGCCAATAACATTTCAGAGGAATATATTGCTTTCACCTCGGCTTATTCAACCCTAAAGATGAAGGTGATATGTTCCACCTGAAACGTTGGTTGACTTTCAACATACTACACAGCATTATATCCCAGAAGATAATACTTTTCATAACCAGCTTACTTAACCTACTTACTTAATTATATCAGATTGTTGTTCCCACAGTGTTGTCACTGGGTTATAAGGCCATATATTTGTAGTTTGGTAGATATGGACTTTTACTGAACTACACAGAAGTTCATACTATTCTTACTTAATTACATCATTACATCACCATGGCATGATGATGATTATGAGAGGCACCCAAAACTGCGCTGTCCCACAGCTGATCAGATCCAGCATTTTTTCCGACATTCTTCCATCCCCTGCTATTACTCTCATGCATGTGTTACCAGGGGAACATCATGGTTGTATTACAGAATAAACAGTGCATTTCTTCAACTAGTACATGCTAGTATGCATTCTGGCACACAGTTTGTGTATTGACAATCTCATCAAAAGTTGCATGTCTCTGTAGCATATTGTGACATTTTGCACAACGGAGGACCCCCCCCCCACCAGCAGTGACGCAGCGGGTGAGTCAGCGCTCTGTCACCCCCCCNGATAACTGAGAATTAATTGGGAGTGTGTAACACAGTGACACTTGTATAGCTCCCGTACTGTGAAACGTGTAGTCTACTGACAATAGCGTGATTTGATTTGCGAATAGGGTTATAAATTGTGAAACCCCTCAATATTGTTATAATTAATTATAGCCGTTACTTGTAGGTTGTTGAATAAACCAATTAACAATCTCTACGGCGTATTCAGTAACAAAACACGTTACATTTGGTGTCAGAAGTGGGATCAGTAACAAAACACGTTACAATATGTTTTGATAATGGGGCTAAAACTGTGTGTGAGGGTACCAACAGACCTCTTCATAAAGAGGAAGGAGAAAAAAGAACAGTGCTTGCTGCTATAACATTTGGGGGCTCATTACTACTGGCTACAGTAGGGTAAGTAGTTGACAAAAGTCTGAACACAAACTGTTGCAAGCATTTGCCATGTAAAGGCTGAATACAGACATAAAAAGAAAATACAATAATACTGAAACAGCACAAACAATAGGAGGTGCTCTCTACAGAAAGGTTGATTATAGGTGTGGGAACTGCCTACATTCAAGCAAATGTTAGAGTGAGTTGTGTCCTGATGGAGGAAGACGTGTATGCACTTCTCAAAATCGCTGTCCACAAATGTAGGACACAACTCACTGTAACGTTTACTTGAATGTGGGCAGTTCCCACACAGGTACACAAAGATCACACAATAAAATAATGCAAACACTAGTAAGATGAGGTCTAATCGGATACATAGCAAACAAAAATAATAAACAGCTCCTGGCAGTTAGTGTAGTTTAAATCTAAGCAGAACCTAAAGTACGAGCCAGTAAACAATTAAACAAGTTCAACCCATCTGCAGGTGACACTGTACTGTCATTCTCACAGGCAGAACAAGAATGTGCATTTAGATTTGAGAGCTGAAAACAAACCAACCCTTCTCACTGGAAATATATGACAGCTCATGGAAGCTGAGTGCTGTTTGGTGCAGATAACTTTTGCAGTGCTTTTCTATTTTTAAATAGTGATAACTCTTCGTTTTGAAATAATTCTTATGTGTTATTTTACTGAGATCATTAATTAATTATGTAAATAGGATGTGCAAGAAGATGCAAGTGTATTAAGTGCTTGAATGCTATAATTGTTTTAGGTGGCAGTGGTTCTGGGGGAAGGTCAGGACTGGCCACACGTCCCACAAATCTCCCCACAGAACACAGACGATTCCATCATCGCAATGGCCAGACATTAGTCAGTAAGTATCTTCAGGTGTAAAACATTGTACAATTCCATAACTGAACCTCTTAAGCAAGAAATTCTGTTAATATAACATAGAGGAGGCTGAATCTAATACCTGCGGTTCATAGAAAGCGTAAGTGGAATTGATAGTCTTTATTTCATTATGTCCAGACATAATAATAAATGTAGTTTTATACATGAGAATGGGCACAAAGTCATATGTAGTCCAGACAATTACATTTCTGTGAGATGTCACCTATTTCTTGAACCAAGAAAAAGGAACAAAAAAAATTGAAGTAAACAGTCTAATTTGTTTTTGGGATGACAGTATGCACCAATGCCAGCCCCTGGTTCACCCTTCAAAACAATTTTGGAACTGGTTTGGTGGAATGGCCTTTAGAGTTGTCATCATAATACTTCTTATGACATCAGTGTCATCAAAACGCCTCCCTTTCAACATTTCCTTTATCTTCAGGGCTAAAAAAGGTCATTGGCGGCTAGATCTGATGAATTGGGAGGTTGTTCCAGCACAGTTATTTGTTTACTAGCTAAAAGCTCCCTCATAGACATTGTTCTTTGGTGAGCTCCTTTGGGACCGTTTTTGCACACACCTTCCTCATGGCAAGATCTTCAGTTAAGATTTTCCTAACTGTTACTCTGTCGATGTTCACTTGCTCTGCTGTTTCAAGTGTTTCTAAAACTTTCTTCATTCTTTATATCCTACCCATTTTCAATAGCAACTTAATTCTTTACTGAGACTGTGCATTATTGTGCTTATAAACACAAGAAGATAGAGATTGTTTTTGATTTTAAACAAACTTCATTTATTCCATGCAAAGAAAAAGCTGTACAAAATAAAGTTGTCAAGAATTTATTTATGCCTTTTTGAAGTGTGTTTGATGTATATGAAATATGTCTTATATGCCCAGTTATGCCCTTGGGTAAGTGGGGTAAAATGGATGGACATTAATTCAAGAAGTTTCGGTATTTGCCATCACCCTGCTGTAACTACAGGGAATTTCCTTCAGTAGTAGGGAATGGATAAGATTGATTACAAAAAGGGAGTTGTTAAATACATAATTATTTTTACTATATACATAAGGATACATGGTTACCAATTGGTTGCTACATTAATCTAGCCCCAGGGGATCAGTATTCTAACATTGCACTGCACTTCCAATTAATTTGGATGGTAATGAAGGTGACGGTGCAGAACGGAAGATCTTGAGGGTCCATGGTTCTTGACTGGGCCAATCTTCTTGTGACATATTAATTAACTGTTGGAAAGTTACAGGGCATAGGTTCCTGTGCCAACTGCTCTTGAATTCTTATCAATAATCTTCCATGTCTGCTCACCCCGAGGTATTTATCGTATAGTCACAGCTGAGTCAACATTCTGTACTGTCCTCATTGTAGATCCTGGTTACCTTGTATGTCCACATATCCATCTCAGCAGTATTGGTTTTGTTGGGCAATGTTGTGATGACTACACTAACCTGCATTCACATTCCTAAGTTACTGCACTTCTTCTTCCTGCAGTTTCTTCAGGGTACTGCAAAACCAAAAACTGTATTTCCATAATTCTAAAATTTACATTATTTCCTTAAGGGCATAACATACCCCTTTGTGATGTTTCATCTATCCTTTTGGGATGCATGTATTTCCAGTTCAGACCTCTACATCAAATGCCTGGAACTATCAGAATAGTTGATTTGGAATTGTTGAAGTTTAACCTTAAATGAGGGTTAATTTTAAATCATAAACATTCAGTGGATATTCCAGTGTCTTTTTTATTTTTGTGTGTGTATGGATTCTGTAAATTATAAAAACCTGAAAATGTTCTTTGTGTGTACTTTTTAGCCCAGTCATTTCCAACTCCAATGGAAGAGCCAAAGAAAGTTCTGCGGGCACAGTATCTGGGCTCTACACAGGTGTCTCGGGCTACAGGAATGGATATACTCAACGATGCAATTGACAAGCTAATTTCCAGTGTGCCTACAGAGAAGTGGCATTCAGTGAATGTTGCTGTGGCTCCCTCCATGATATCCATACTGAACCCCTCGGTTTGTATCACTACAACAGATCAGATTAAAATCAGAGTTATGACACATAACAGTATGATAAATGTTAAATGATCAAAATCCTAACAGACTAACTCTTTCAAAACTTTTCCTCTTATATCAAGTCAAAACTGACCAAACTGTTCCAGTAGTATGTCAGCATACATTGAAAACCATCATAATGATTAATGTCATGAAATGTAGGTGTTGATATATGAATACATGATTATATTAGACGAGACTGTGTTCAGCTAAACCAGCGGTTTGGAAACTCTTTATAATATGAGGCTCCCTTGATGTGGATAAAAGTCCTCTAACCTATAAAATTCACTTCAAATATGATGTAACAGTTGTTATGTTTTGGCCTACTATATAATTTAATTAATTCAAAATAATTTTTATAGGCTCATTGTTTATTTAGTAAAGTTATCTCTGAAACAGGCTGTGAAGACCCATAGGGTTGTGAGAGGTTGAGACTCCCACATCTTCTAGACAGTCTGCTCACAGATGACATTAAGGTTGTCAGCGTTACGTGCCAGCCACCTTTTACCCCCCAGGAAGATTCGTGGTACTCATTTCTGTTAGAGGCTGAGTTGACCCCAGGGTTGTAGTGAGGCTGGAAGGATTAGGTCAATTGAAAAATCCAATGACCTCCTCAGGAATTGAACCAGCGACCTTCTGGCTTGTAGCATAGTGCCTCAACCAACTACACTACCACATACCCCATTATTTATTTAGTATCCAGATTAATTCGGCATCTTTGTTGTATGCAGCAACCCCTAGCAAAAGCTTCACAGCACCTTGGAAGGCTGTGGTTCCCTCTGGGAAATACTGGGTTGAACAGTCATTTTACAAAGAGTGCTGTAAAGTATTAGGTCATAGAGAGCACACTAGTTTGCAGTGATTGTGGATTCCAGGCTACATGAATGGAGTTCATACATGACATGTATAATGAAATATTGAAACTAGCAGGTGTAGTTTTAAACAGCTACTGTTTCAGAAGTCTCTGTGATTGTTTAATACTGTGTTTGTGTCCTGTTATGCAGGAAGAAAACAAACTGGTAGCAGAATGTCGTGTTCGCTACCTTTCCTTTTTAGGAATTGGGCGCAACGTGAAACAGTGTGGTTTCATTATGCATACTGCACAAGACCTGTTCATTGCACATGTGTTTCACTGTGAGCCTTCATCAGGGGCCCTCTGCAAAACAGTGGAAGCTGCCTGCAAGGTAAGTGTCCTTCCCCCTGGGTCCTACTTGAGGAACCACTGGTTATTTGTCTGTTCAGGAAATATCCCTGTCCTTGGGGGTCTCCTGAACCAGTTCAAACCAGCATGAATCCTTAAAACATACTTCTCAATGCTGTTTCATACACACACATTTAAACCTCCAACCATGACCTGGATGGCCAGAACTGACCTGTCATCTTTGTGTAGTGCTGAGATTAAGATTTGTAAAGCTATACCCCTCCTCTATCATGCATCTTCATGGTGTGATACTTAAGTACAGGGACACTATTGGAAAAGAATATAAATGAACGTGTCATTAATATACTGCACGTCCTGATTTATTTTGTTCTTAATACCTTAATGAATACCAAACAGAGCAGATGTGATGGCTCAATGATTAGCATTCCTATTTAATATTTGGAAAGGTACTGGATTTGAATCTTTGGTCTGGTGACAGAGTACCCTGGCTCAGATGTTTTGGTTTTCCATGTTTTTGCTGGGGCAGTATCCTAAAATAGGCCATTTCATTCAACATCCTCTTGAATTTCTTATTCAGATTTTTCTGCCATGCTTTACTGTGACATGACACCTGAAAGTCAGAATAGCAGGGCCAGAGTAGACATGCAGAGAACAGCTCGGTAAACTACTTCCTGTGGAAATTAACATGCACGCACCACTAGAAGAACTGTCATTTCTATGCAATGGCGAGGTAATCACACCTATATAACAATAGAGAAATTGTTAGGAAACAGTGTTTTCTCTTGGATCCCACCCAATGCTATATGACGAGGATCCAAGGCCGGATGAGATAGAATTGAGTGTCTGTTGAGTCGACAATCAAAGGTGATTGAGAAGAGATGGCAAGAGAGGAATTAGGCTGTGCAAAAAGACTTCATGTTTGCTGCAGTTACGGTGAGACTGGTATAATTATTGCTGTGTTGAACTCCGTTGCCAGGATACGACTAGAAGATGGAGACTCATAGTGCGTGTTTAATGGTGAACTGCAAAGTGAGTAGATCAGCAATAGCGCTGTATTGCCTGTAGTTGTGAGTTGTGTGAATAAGTGCAGTAAATCCAAACATCCAATCCAAACCCCACCTAATAGTCATGCACCCCCCCCCAAAATACATGACATGCAGAAATAATTTAACGTCCATTATTTATCATCCGTCAGTTGAACAATTGCAACAGGATGCTGAAATACAGAAGCAGAAATAATCATCATAATGTCGGTTTTAGTGTGGAAATGTCTACATAACACAGCAAGTAGTCTGTAGAATCATAGCAGTAACTGTGTTAGCTTCCAACATCACAGTAGGCTGTAACATAATGGTTCCTCATCATTAGTTAAATATTGTGTAGTAATATATAACCTGAGAAAGTGCGTAGCTGACATGGATTTATGGTGGTAGGATTACATGTTTTGAAGAGTGCAGTGAAGAAAGCAGATACAGTTCATATTGTAACAGATTTGATGGATGCGTTGCCAGGCAACAGCTCTGTAAACACAGTCCAACACGGAACAATAGATGAGGCTGTGTTTTCTATGTCGTCTGCACCAAGCAACAGTGGAACAGTGAGGTTATGCAACATGACTCTAAGCAAGAGCTCAGTAAACATATTTCCATGTATCAGACCATACTATGAAAGTGGTGATTTTATCAGCAGTAGAGATGGTGTTTTCTGTGGGGTCTTTGCAAAGTGCTTGTAAGAGAAGAGAGTGACAGAATTTGTCAGGGCAGTTTGTGGCCGGTTGTAAGCTGGAGGAGTGAGTAATAGATGGACTTGACTTGAGTTCCCAAGTTCCAAGGGAACAGCAGTGTGGCCAGAAGAAGAATTAGAAGGCTTAGTGCGTGACACTGCATGTGCTGTAGTACAGAAATACTGAGAGTGTGTAATTGAATGAGACTTTTATAGTTCCTATGTTATAAATCCATTACCAGGAAACGGATAGTGAAGACTAGTGGAAATAGATGGAGAAGATTAGTGTAGAGTGATTGTAAATTGTGTGAATCAGCAATAGTGTAATAATTAATTGTAGTTATGACCTGTAGGTGGTCAGTAAATCAAATTACCATTTGAACCCCATCTTTAGTCACTAATACATGTGACAATATATCTGAATGACATAAGTGCATTTACCTGTATTTTGAATCTGAACAGTAGGATTTAAATTTAAAATTGCTTTGTGTAGAGGAATTGGAAGGCTATCTTTCTTTTCTACTTAATAGAATTTTATAACTGTAAATTACACATCTGATTTGGTCCTGCAATAGTTTATGTTGAGGCTCCAACAAGATGTCATGTGTATTGGTTATGGAAATGACTGTACACATGAAGTAAACAGTATGCCATGCATGATAGTTATGAATATTACCACAAGATTACCTTGCTTTGCTTGGTTATACAACACAAATTTCAGCTGTTGCTTAATTTTTGTTTTGTTATTTTTCACCAGTTACGATACCAGAAGTGCTTGGATGCACATCCACAGGGGTTGGGTCGTAACCAGAGTAATGTCCAGACACCTGGTGGTGGCACCAAGGGATTAGGAGCGACTCTAAAATCTTTCGTTGGGTCCCTCACTGGGCGTGGCAGCAACAGGCAGTTCAAGGGGTCAAGTGAATCCTGAGAGGAGGCCCTCTCTCTGCAGGTAACAAACGATCAGGTGACTATGTGTCAGGAACTGAGACCACATGCGTCTATCTCTCTCCTTCCAGTTTCCTCCCTTTGCACTTGCACACTGACCATGCAGCTGCACAGGTGTCGCATTTGGCAGAATGTTGAGGCTTGTTAGTGATAACAGGAGCAGATTAAAATGTTGCATGGCCTTAAGGCGTGATGAAAACAAAGCCCCTACAATTTTTTAAAACGGGTTGTAGAAACAATAAATAATAAGCATTAAGACATTTGTAGGATTTGAAGTTCTCACAGCAGTGGTTATGAAGAGTGCTATGTTCTGGCATATAATGCCATGTAGTCTGTTGAAAGTCAGCCAATGTTTTGGAGGAAAATATCGCTTCCATCTTCAGGGTTGAGCAAGCCAAGCAAGAAACCAACGTGAAAACAGGTGGCAAGCTGAGTACATGCTTCATTAAGAAATTTTGTTCAAAAAATTTCATAGGCAGACATTTTCATGACAGAATAATTTAAGGAAAAATTTAAGAAAGTGTTGTTTAAAAAATACCATATCTTGGCGAAAGTAATAAAAAAAATATGTCCCTGTAACAGCATGTGAAGGACCATAAGGTTGTGTGATGTCGAGGCTCACACATTTTTTCTAGACAGTCGGCTCATAGATGGCAGTAAGGTCTTCAGCCTTAGGCGCCAGCTGCCCTTTACCCCCCAGGAATATTCTTGGTACTTATTTCTGTTACAGGATGAGTTGACTCCAGGGCCATAATGCAGCTGGAAGGATTAGGTAAATTGAAAAGAAATTCACCTCATCGGGACTCGAACCTATGACGTTCCAGCTTGTAGCATAGTGCATCAACCAACTATGCTACTGTGTGCCCCCTGGCAAAAGTACTTTTAATTAAATTACTAAGAACTATCAATTTACATATCCAGAAGTGCACAAGGATATGGAAGCCACCATTTGTTTGGCACTGATCACACAGTTGTGCCAGAATTGAAAGCAATGAGTGGTACTGCTTCCCACCTTGTTTTTAAATGTTGCCATTTTTCCTCCATGTGTTCTTTTTTACCAGTCCAGTCAGACAAGATGTAGTCTGCCATTTGTTAGCTTATTACTGCCACTAGTGATGCTGTGTACTGCAGTTGAAGCTTTCAACGTTTTTGAGAAGTTATTGCCTTCATCTTCAGTGTGGAAATGATGATGGCCAAACATCATGTTCAAGTGGGTAACCCTTTTGCTTCATGCTTGGGAGGTACCAGGTATAGAGCTCAGCCCACAGGCCTACTTTTCTGACTGACATGTTTTATGGTTTTCTCATATGTCCAGGCAATACCAGGATAGACCCTCCAGTTAGACCATGTCTGCTTTCCTTCCATATACTGTCCAATGCACTCTTTCCTACTGATTCTATCTTTTTGTGCTATACTGTATAACTTGAGTTATTGGAAACTTTGTTAAATGAATTGTAAATAAATATAAGTGAAGAAAGGAGAGTGATGTAATTGCATTGCCTAATTTAGTCAGAACATTCTGTGTAGTAATATGTAGGCACTGATATATCCTCCAGTCGAGACATGGTTTTACTATGTTCTGTGTTATTACATGACTTTGTAAGGTAACCCAACTTAAGAGTAACAAAGTTAAAAAATTAGAGTGTATAATACAGAGTAGATGCTGACATGAAGACAATCTGGCAAATGAACTAGATACATGAGCAAGTAGGAGTTGGTCCTGAAAGGGATAAATATATCATATATTACAGCTACATTTTTCATTGTGAGACAGAATTGGCAGTGATTAAATTTATAGCCTAATAAATTAATTGTACAATGAATGATCTTCACCATCTTTTTTCAGCATTTCACTTTTATATAGGTTGGCTTGAACCAAGCCTGTCCAACTTTCTACATCTTCCATAAGCCCTGCATCCCCAGTTTTCTCCCATATATTTTCTTCATTTGTGTGACATTTTTCCTTACCTGTTGTTCCATTTTCTTTGGGTGTAGGATTTGAGGTTCTCACAGCGGTGCCTATGAGGAGTTCCATCATCTAGGATATAACATGATGTAGATCATTGAAAATCAACCAGCGTTTTGGAGGAACATGTTACCTCCATCTTCAGGTCTGAAGAGTATACCAAGCAAGTATGCCTGCTCCATGCTGGTTTCTTGTTTGCCTTACTCATCAACTGTGAAGATAGAGGCTGCATGTTTCTCTGAAACATTGGTTGACTTTCAGTGGACATGTGGCATTATATGCCATAAGATAGAATTCTTCCTCATGGTTATTTCCCTGTTATTTTCCTATTCAGAACCTTATTTTGGACCAGTTCTTTATTATGTGACTAGATCTATATATTAGTAAAGCAAATTGACACCCAGTAGCTTGTGTTACTGGTATAATGAGTGCCTTTTGTTTCACAAATTTGCACAATTTTTGTATCACAGGAGCTGTGGCCACTCCCTGCGGAGCGAGAGGTGATCAGACACCGTCACCTCCAGTCACCACTCACACTGAAGTACTTTAACACCAGCAACAGTAGCAGCACCCTCCGGTCACTCTTGTCCCCAACCCTGGACAGTCGGCGAGTGTCTCCTCTGCGGTGGGACTAGGAACCATTATGCAGCAATGTGGCTCCACTCTGCTAGGATCAAGTCATGGACATCTTTGTATTCTGAGTAATCTCAGTGCACTGTTTTCCTGTTGTTTCTGCAGCACACAGGTCATGTTTACTGAAACTTCAGCATGACTGGAAGGCAGCAGATTATAACAGGTGATCCCGTGTGGCAGTACGTATTCATATACATCTTGTTTGGAAAATGCAGTGAGTGCATCCTTCCCTATGGATCTGAAGTACAAGAGCAACTTGATAGCAGACTGACAGCAGCAGCAAATAAGTGACAGATTGAATGCAGGTGACATTTGGAGAAAGAGAATGAAGCTGGTGTAAAACATCTTCACTTCATTCAATATATGTAATATAGATGATGATCCAGAAGTGTACACCTTGTTTACTGACATATACTGTGCATTCCTCTATTTTGAATGAAGGATATTGCATCATTTCCATGACTGTTTCTGAAAAATGAAACTAAATAAAGATGTGGTTGAAAGATGTTGTATGGGAGCAATTCATTGTTATTTATAAATATGTAAACATGTAATGAGTGTGTAGTATATGTGAGTGAGTGGGGTAAGTACTTGTAGCATAAGGGAAGTGACTTAGTCAAATCGTAAGGCCAGCTACAAGCTGTAGTACTAGAAGGGTGGATTCAGTCATCAAGATGTGAATCAGTTCTAGAGACCATGAATAGAATCTCACTAATTGTTTTCTTTGCTTCTGATGTAGGATGCAAAGACTGTCATCATTATGATACATCAGAAGAGACCTGTATCATCAGCAGTGGGTATATCATGATTATGTAATATATCCAATAACGAAATATATGCCCACTGAAAAATTGTTTGAAGAATAGCTTCAGATTATATTAATTTCAGTCGCTGAAATGATAAGTCATTACTGTATGTGTGGAAGTGTTACCATAAAATATTCTTCAGCATTTTTAAAAAATAAATTATATATTTTATATTTATTTGCTGTAGTAGAATTAGTGTTCATAATTAGAAGTATGAAATCATTGCAAGGAATGAAACAGCAATGCAAAGTATGTCATGAAATGCTTCGAATATAAGGACATCTTGAAATCCTTCACATTTAGAGAGCAGTGTGAATTTATACACCGAGATGAACTGATACAGCTGGAGACCATGATATGTCTCCAGTAGACATTGCGAGTCTTTGCGAGTGTTGCATATTGTATTATACGTGCATGCATGTGCATGCATGTAAGTACCAAATTATTAGATGTATAATATCGATGTTGGTGTGAGGGAGTCGTATCTTCCCACATTAAATGTTGCTGACAAATTTTTTTTAAAGTTCACAGTGTTGCTTACTCAAGCAGTGATATTTCTATATATATATATAATCCATGTTGTATAGCCCACTGAGTTGCACAGATTAGGACAGAACTATTGTTCTGTATGGAAGTTTTGTAAGGATGAACATGGCAGGCACTTTAAATTATTTCTTGCCATTAAGAGAATGGTGTAACATGGACATAATTTTCCAGCTGATTGGAAAGACACATTTTTTTAGTGTAATTTTCATGAATTGGTATGACAGTTTATGTAGCTTAATGGACCAATAAGGGCAATCAAGAAATGGAAAATATGTTTAAAAATATATGCTGTTTGAATTTCAGGTAAGAAACTGGTTCATTGCCAATAATGCATGACAAAAGACTGTTCTTGTTGGGGACCTGCGGCTGAGCTAACACTGCACATTTGTTATGATGCTGTGTCGATGTTTTTAGACCAGCGTGTATAAAACTTTTGAAACATTCCCTGATAGAACTACTTATTTGTATGGTTTACTTCTCAAATGAAGTAATGGTCCTGACAGGTGGTCAGCATTATTAGCATGGTATGGTGATTATGAATGAGATCAAGCAGTGTGTTTCACATCTGATCATTGTGTATCTACTCCTCTTTTCCACCTCAGATATTGTCAGAAACTGGATGAACTCATGGATATGCTGTGTGTCCATACCTCAAAAGCTTACCATAACAATCATGGAGCAATTGAAATAGGCCTGTTAGCTGATGATTGTAGTTTCTGCCATAAGAAATAGTATTGTCTTACAGTGACCAGTTTATGTTGGTCTGTTGTAGTCTTATCATATAAAAGAGAAATCAAATGGGATGGCACAGTTAGTGTAAATTGAATTTTCTAAAATTAATTTCTGTATTACTTGTCAGTGATATTCACTCATTTACTCGCTCACTGTCAGCCCCACGAGCACGTTCTATAGCTATGTAATAGTGTCAGAGCTATTGTATTTGTACATAGCATTATACCAGTTGTATGATGTGGTGTCTCCATAACTGGGTGTTAATAACTTAGTAAAAACAAAGTTTGGCAGCATTTGCTCGCTTGCTCAGCACAAATATCTGCAGCTTTCCCAGCAGTAAGCTCATGACATTGCAATCATGGTAACTTTTGCTTATGAATGACATGTGAAAAGTGGATATTTTGGGGGCAGAATGTCAGTGGAGGGAACAATAATCAAGTACTTGTCATTTCCATAGTAAATGTAGACATACAATATTGTTATTTATTTTCAAATAATGCTTTTAAGAGAAGAATATGTTTCAAGAAAAGTGGGGTATCCAAAATATTGTTCTGAAGTGTTCAATTTGGGACACAATGATGTTGGCAAGGCATCTACTGTACTACGTAAATCTTGTGCTTTTCTCCCTGTCTGAGCAACAGCTTGGAGCATCATTACATCAGTACATCCAACCATTGCAACTTGACAGACAACTGTTGTCCCCAAACTTATGTTTCAATGATCTCTGAACTGTTAACTACTCCAATTCTCTATCTGTCTGTGTGTTTTGACTGAAGAATTTTCTTGTGATATATCGGTGAACAATTGAACTCAGATTCAACAAGTCATACCCCACAAGATTTGAATGTGCAGTTGTACCTCAAGAGCCTTGAATTGGTATAAGAGAAAAGTATGAGCATGAGCATTAGCTGGTGAGTAGAGTGGTTTTGTGGAAATAGACTGGTGAGTATAAATCTGGTGACACCTGTCACTTCATTACATGTTATTTTTTTTTTATTAATTTCCATTGTTAGCAATGTTTGGGACACGTGGGTTCCTACTTTAGTCCAGTTTAACCTGTATCATTTTGCAATAGGGGATTTGAATCTGTTGCTGATATGATGCTGGTAGCTGGATTCTGACATGGCAGAGATGGGCCTTATTTATATTGTAAACAGTGTGACATCAGGCATGCCAGGGCTTGGTGAACCCATGGATAGTTGATGCACTGATGATGAATTTACTATGAGTGGAATCCTACTTCCAGTCATCCATGCCTTCAGAACTCAGTCATTTTTAAAGTAAAATTTACCTTACCAGATGTATAATGAAACAGAAGCCAGTTTTACATGAGAAGAACTGAGAATGGAAAAATGTTTTTAAAATTAAAAAAAAATGTTGGAAGATTGCTGGGTGTGTAGTAGTATATACCAGTGGTTCTCAACCTTTGTCAGATTACAGCTTGATAAATTCTTTTCTCTATAAGACGAGGGTCCAGTATAATTGATGCCAGGGCCTGGTACTGGGCTGTGGCCCAGTGGTTGAAAAACACCGGTTTATACCTTTCCTTTACATAAGATACATTCATAGTTAGTCAGGTTGCAATGGGTGGAACAATGGTTGAATGGACAGATGGATGAATGTATGTATGGATAATTTTACATACGTTTGGATAACAGGAAATGTTAGAATGGGTGAATTCATTTTCTAAATAAAAGTCAGAACCTAGAATTTAGAGTAACTTGGAAGAATGATATTGAACAAGGAGGGACAGATTTATGTGTAACTGCCTTTCTCAAAAATTTTATGTTCTTACAGAAACAATTTTTTGTGGCATTTTATCAGAGTGGTATTTCTAATGAGAAGCAAGTTCAAAGTAATTGTGTCATTACTCTGTTGTTGCATATCAGTGTGTAAATCTGAGAACTTATGAAAGATGACACACACAGAATTTAAAATCTGAGATGTAGTCAATGATGAAACACAGTTTGGTCATCAGATTTTTTCGAGGATTTGCAAACAGTAATACCATATTTAGAATTATTTAAAATTTCTTCAACTCAATATATAAATCTGGTTAACATACTCAAATATTTTCCACTCATCTCCATATCATGCCAAATGCATGGACCATACACACTCATATTTTATCATGGTGTGATAATTAAGCATAGAAACAGTTTTACCTTTGCTGTAGGCAATGTTATTGCATGATTTACAGAAGAAAAATTTACTTTGAGTTCATATCTCTATATAGAGTTATTCCTTCTGTAAAATCATCATAATGAGCTTTAGTGTCATCATGACACTTATTAAAGATTAAATTTATGCTATTATTTAGAGTTTTTTTGTAATCACATTTGTATGAAAGTAATGTATGTCATGATAGTGTCACTTGATTAGGCACTAGTTTCTTATTGCAGAACCCCTTGTTCAGTTGTAGGTGACTTTTTGTGAAATTCATGTTGGTTGAAGTGGTACAGGAGCAGGTTTTTCTCTGGGTTTATTTAGTTTTACAGTCCAGATCATTTTGCCATTGCTCGATACTTATCTACCACTGCCCCCTCAGGTGTGTAATAGCCCTGACTAATCATCATGTAATCATATGCTTGGCTTTAACCCTTTCCAGTACATTGAACATGAAGTTGTTTCGTGGGTCCCTTAACAAGAATATGAATGGCTTCCAACATCTGTTGGAAAAGAAATACTAACACCAGGTCAAACTACTCTGACTCTTGTAGATTTCATGATCATATGATACAAGCACACTGAGTGTATTATAGGGCTGTGGAGGGAAAATACCAATGATGCACCCAGTGCACCTGTCAACTGGAAAGGGTTAAGTCTGGGGCTTCATCTCTGACGTGGCACCCCACTGGTTATGGAGTAAGGAAGTTGCATTTTTACTTTCAGTTCATTGGACAAGTTAATTGTGTGATGTGATGTGATGTGTATTCAGTCTTGTCACAAACAGAACTTAGAGACATCAGTAATTACTGCACACAGAAATACAACTTGTAATCCAAGTTTCTGTTGAGATAGCATTTTACAGATTTTGTTTTCCTGTGAACTATATGTGCGGCAAAGTGTTTGTGTCACAGCTGAATTGTTGTATGGTTAGTATAAACTTCATACTATGGTTATGCCTTTCATTTTGATGTATTGTATATACAGCTCACACTGACATGGAAATGATCACATTTACAACAAAATGTTTGAGAGTACACAGTTATGAAATATACTTGCTGGTCACAGTGTACAGCTTGCTTTGAGAAACTCACAGAAGTTAGGTTAGTTTAGGTCATAGCTTTATAAATTACTTTCCAGTTTAAACCTCTTTTGCATACAATGTTCTAGAATGTTCATATTTCAAAGCCTTTGTACAACCTGTAGAACCCAAAATGTTTGTAATAATATTTCCTGTGGGAGGAGCAAAACTGGGATTCAGAGCAGTTGATATGAATGTGAGATTTGAGGTTTTCATTGTGGTGATTATGAAGATTATTGTCTCCTGAGATGGAACACTGGATACCTTGAAGATGAAGGCAGCATGTTCCTTCGAAATATCTGTCAGCTTCTACCAGGTAACATAGTCTCACTTCCCAGAAGACAGTAATATATAGTTTATATGAATAGTAACCTATAAAATTTCCATATTTACTAAGGAAGAAAGCAACAAGAAATAGAAAATCTTCTTAGCAAGAGAATGCTTTATTTTTGCAAGTGAGTCAGTGGTTCTTTTGGGAACATGTCCACATCTGTTTTGGCAGTTTCTATACATTTCCAGCACTGAAGAAGATAGTTCTTGAAGGAACTTCTCTGTGGAAGTGCTTAGGCAGAAAGAAAAGATTGACCCAGAAACTTTTCATCATTTTCATTTTCATTTTCATTTTTATTATCATTCAACAATTCATACATACAGGTATTACAACCATTTGGATAGGGAAATTGTCAGATTCTCGTGCATATCTTTACAGAATACACTGTACCACCCTAATATAGGGGGTTTGTCATCTGAATAATATTATCTAGATCTAATTACCATTAATTTCATTGTCTTTACACAAAATACAACAAATTAATCAGCTACATATTACATTTACACACTTGATGAATCAAAAGACATAAATTCATCTACAGAATAAAAGGAATGTTTCAGCAAAAAGATTTTAATTCCTTTTTAAATGAGTTAAAATTTTCCCTTTGTTTTATTTGATTGGGGACCTTATTATACAAATTAATTCCCATATTTATCACACTCCTCTTACAAAGAGCTGTGTTACAGTGCTGTACATGAAAATTTAATTTTTTTCATGTGTTATAATTATGAATGTCTGAATTTATTGCCATAAAAGCCTTGTATTTTTTGATAAAGCATGTCACCTCCAATATATACAGAGAAGGCAATGTTAAAACATTGTAATCTTTAAAAATTTGTCTACATGACGTGCGACTACTAATACCACTAATCACTATAAGATCATGAAAGTATTGTGGCTGTAGTTTCATAAAGTAATCATAATGTATTCTTTCCTCAATTTAAGCACTTGAATTAACAAGAAAACTGGCAAAGGTAAAGAGAAAATACATACACATTACTCATGTGATTTGTTCAACTATAGGAGACCCGTGGCAGCTGTCAGTATCAGTGATTCAAACATGCACATTACAGTGGTGGACATTCTTTGGAAGAATATTCTAAATATGTTTTACATTTCTTTTTGAATATGTACACTGCTATCATGACAGGTAGCTGGAAACTGACAAATTGCATATTGTAACATGGCAAAGTTAGTACATCAACTGCAGGAACAGTCAGAGGCAGGAAGTAGCCCAGTGGGTAGAAAAAAAAAGAAGTTTGAGCAGTAGAACAGTTTTACCTCACTTGGCTGGAGATTGACCCAGAGCACATGCACTGTGTATGCAGAAAATTGAATGAGGCAGCTGGATAACTGTCATGTATGAATTATTACAAATTTCATTATTTTGTGCTTGTTTTATGTTACATGATAGATTTGAGGATCTCAATGACGTTACTATGAAGAGTGTTGTATTCTGATTTGTAATGCCATGTTGTTTGGTGAGAGCTCAGTTCCCTACCTGTTTTGACTGAATTCTTTCTTTGCTTACTCTGTGATTGAAGCTGGAAATGATATGTTCCTCTGAAACGTTGGGCTCTCTCTGTACTGCATGGTGTCACAACGCAGAAGACCGTATGCTTCATGTCACATGTATGCAGCAGAGCAGTTTGTATCATTGCACATCTGAACTTATTGGTTCAGTATTCCTGTCTTTTATACTGTTATACTTTAGACGTAGTATTCATCCCGGGTCTGGTCAAGTGGGATTTGTGGTGAACAAAGTGGCACTGGGGCAGGTTTTCTCCGAGTACTGCGGTTTCCCCTGCCAATCTTCATTCCACCAATTGCTCCACAATCACCCTCACCTATCATCTGGGGCTGGTACAATAGGCCAGAAGTGGCTGCAATACAAGGGACTTAGTCCCACCCCATTAGCAATAAAAAAATAGTATTAAATCAGTGACAATGATAGTAAGTCAATCCTTGATTGTCTGAGATTCATTATTTCGCATTATATGGTGTAGCTTAATAAATAATATTAATTTGAATGGGTGAAGGGTATTAACAGCAGTGTGTAGTTACTACAGAAGAATTGGTGTAATTAGGGAAAAAGTTGTATGGAGGTGCATTACCCATGGTTGACAGGATTCCTTTGAGAGAACCGAGAACAAATGACCATTGAGGAGACCAGAGACAAGGTAGAAAGATGAAGTTAGGGAAGTTACACAAGTTATGGAAAAGTAGACATAAGTAAGAAAGAAGTCCACACTGGAGGGTGCAGAAGAATGGAGGAGGCTTAGTCATAGGAGAGCTTGCTCTGTTGGAAACAGTAGATGGAAAAATACAGTTCAGCTGAAATAAAAATTTGTACAGGAAATATATTTCATAAACCCAAGATTTTACTTGCTGCAGTTAACTTGTGTGTATTAAAATGTTTAATGACAGTGTGTTATGTCAATTTGGAAAAGAAACACAGTGGAAAGATAGAATGGAGAGTTCTCATTCATTGGCCCATGAGAAGGAGGAGGAACAGGAGAGGGAAATGAAGGTGTAAGGGGAAGACATCAATTTCTGTGCTAGAAATTAAAAAACAGACAAATCCATTGAATACTTTGTGAACCTGGATGAACTCAGGTTTCAATCGTCCTTTGGAGTTTAGATTAAGCGTTAAGAGCATTTCTTGTACATTAGATAGGGATGATATGGACAAACAGATACCAAATTAAGGCTTCACTAAGTTTAAGACTCTGAAAAAATGTTTCACTCACTGTGTGAGCTGCTCTGATGAGATATAAATAATTAAATTTTAATTCATCCCTTCATGACACTGCAGTGAGAGTAAATTTTTTAGCCTGTGATGCTGCCCATGTGGATCATTGATTTCTGCTAATCCACCACACCTCATTAGTAACAACACTTAAGTAATGTATATGTATATACATGAAGATTACTGTCTCATGGTTTCTGATGCAATGTAGTCTGTTAGGGCACAGGATACAAACAGCACATTAGTTCTACATGATACATACATGTACCTTTCTCATCATTATTAGTCATCAACATAAAATGCCCCATTGTGGTAGACAGTGACTTATATCTGTGGGGAATGATTTATTTCCAAGATTAAAAAAAACTGTAAATATAGGAAAGTGTGCTCTGAAAAGAACCTTTCAGAATGATTGCTAGGAATATTAGAGAATCTTTTTATTTATTTCTATTCAGGTTTTAAAATATATTTTTATGGTAAAGTTAACCATTTTTATCTCCTGTGAGTGCTGCAAGTATGATGTTAAATGAATTTCAGAATGATGCAGTTAAAATGCTTAACAGATCACATGAACATTGGTAGATGCCATTGCAGTACTTAATTTTTCTTGAAGAATGATTAATGCTTGATGCTGCTTGCTGTGTATTTGTAAGATGGTTCAAGTCATGTTCACTACTCAGATTGGTGATATACATTATGAAAAATTGTGTAGATAAAAAGTTACTGTGATAAATAGCCTCACCTTCCCATTAACCCACCTTTTCTCCTTATCCTTTTTGAAAAATTATAGATATTTCAGTTAACTTTGTGGATATTTCCATGAATGTAATGTGATTCAGGTACCAGCTTCAGAATATGTAAAGTAGATCACAGTGGGGAATGTGTGGAGGCCAGAATCTACCTGTAGGGAATAATTGAGTTTTATAAAATTTAATTTCTAATATTGTATGATGTACACTTTCAAAAATTGCAAAATTTTTCTCTCAGAATCCCATAAGATGTAGATGGTGGTCTCAGGTTGTTAGTCTCTGTAGTTCTAGAATGAAATTATAGGATTGTTTACATGTGGCTCTTAAATTGAACATTTTAAAAATAATATTAATTCAATGTTAAGTACTAATTACAGTGAAAGAACAGGTATAGAAGTTTAAATCATTTTGGAGATGCTGTGTGGTCTGGTAGGTAGGTACCAGTATTTCAGAGGAACCCGTTCCCTCTGTCATCATCCTAGGAGATGGTTGCAACAGGTTGCTTCAAAATTTTGTTACAAATCTATCGCATCTTGTGGTGTCATATATCAGGAGACTACAGTCTTATTCACCACCCAGATTTTACTTGAAATGGAACAGATTATTATTTGACATATTCGTTTCATGGAATAAATGTATTTTATATGAAATGCTATGATTAAAATTATAGAATTTTTTCCTTTAGTGAGCAGTACAGGTAAGGGCTTTCAGAATCAGATGTTTTGAATGCATGGTACTGAATTTGTTAAAACTTTTCAGATCCTATGTTTAACCCATATTTTTTGGATAGTGTGAATTTGTTTGCATGAAATATTTCAGAAACTCTCAGTTGCCATGAAACATGTTTCAGAGTGAACTTAATAGGTTTTTTCATTTATGGTGACATACTTTGTTGACTAAAGATGAATACTTAAGAGTTACTAATACTTTCACATTGTCGTTCTTGGAAATATGCAGAACAGTGTCATGATATTAGCACTTATGGCAGCAAATTTGTAAAACTATTCTCCACTGCCATATATGGCTACATATTCTGACATAAACATGGATGTAGATTGCTGTTAAATTGAACCTGCTGTCTTTATGGTTAGTGATCAGTTTCAGGGTGTACTGTGCTGCAAGACTGATTATAACACATGGCTGTAAAATGGCTTCTGGTAGA